ATCATTTCTACAATCAAGTCTATATGGGAGCTCAAACCATTTTATTGCATTTTGACTGTAAGGGATTCAGAGGAATGTTTAATTATTTTTATTTCTGAATATAATAAACAGAAATTGCATTTTGCACATACAGTTTTTAGTAGATTTGCACCACAATTGTTCATTTACATAAACTGAACATTTATTATTATTAATTGTAAAATGAATTGTGGCCACACCACTAGGAGAGCATCCTCCAGTTCTCGCGATCAGTGCAAGAGCACTGTTAGTGCTTACAGCAGTGTTGCCATGTCTGCTGAAAATAAACGAAAAGTTCTTTATAAACGTGTGAAGTCACGAATAACACTTTTACAACATACATTTCAGAAAGCGTTTTTAGTCTTTGGTCGCTTATTTGGAATTATTTTGATCAGAGAATTTGCGTATGTTGGACACTTGTTTTATTCAGTAGCTTGTTCTTGCCAGACCTGGCAACTCTATCCAGTCAACATGGACGTATGCTGCGTTCAAGTCCTCCTGGGCCGTTCCTACTTACGAGTTGACAAGTCGTAATTACGACGTCAGGTGCGTTCAAGTCAGTTTAGTCGGCACAAGATGGCGGTGTACCTTCTTTTAATAAATTACAAGAAAATACAACAGGGTCTGTTAACTCTGCTTATAGAAAATGAAGAGCAAAGAATTCGCATCAGGTGTGTTTTGCGTTTTTAATATTTTTAAAAAGTAATCTATGAAGCCACTTTAATCTGTATCGCATAAAAACTGCCACATTCAAAAAGCTTATTTTTTGTAAATAAAAAGCCTGACAATGTCACTGCTTAATAAGTATTGTGATTTATGTCTTTACTTGGATTTCATTAACTAGCTGCAACAAGAACATGACCAATTTAAGTTTATTGGACAACTAAACTATTTAAACAATTTGTAAAAATTGGCTTGGGCGGGTGGATAAAATTTGGGCTGGTTTGGGGTCAGTTTGGGGTCATAGGCTAATTGTTTAACAAAACAAGCCCAAGTATGTATGCTGCATCCAATCAGTCATCATAACATTACTACACACACACACACACACACACACACACACTGCAGAGGCGCTGGTGCTGATGTAAACTTCGACAGCCGCACTTATTACGAGGGCTTAGCAGACAGTCGTTATGATTCATGAGTGACAAGTTTTTAGCGTGACAAGTTATAACGTATCTGATTTTGAATGTAGTATGACTGTATATTCAAGTAATCACAATGCCTAAATATAAGTTAAAGAGTGGGAGAGTGACTCAACTCTCAAAACGTGAATTATTGTGGAGTGAGATGACACGAAGGCTCTATCACGGCAACTCCGAAATCAGAGCACATTTGAATTAATCATAACAGAAACTAAATATGTCGGTTTATACGATCATGTCTTTTATCTTTTAAACGTCCAAATTGATAAATCCTTGAAACTGCTAGACTTGATTAGTTTTGAGTGTGCAAAGTTCTGTATTATGTTCTACAATATGAACTTAACAAGAGGCTTCCTCTAGTTCTGTGTAAAATTATAGAGCGACACGAATGTAAGTGCATTATTGTTGTTGTTATTTTTTTAATTGTCGGATTATAATTAAGTATCAATGAATGACACAGTTTTGAGTTGACTGTCATGGTGTGCGCATGAACGAGTGTGAAATACCTGCTAATTACGTTGCTTTTTCCTATCACTTATATTGGGCACTTTTTGCATTATTCTGACTGCTGACATTGAAAATCATGCATGTGTTGTTTCGAGGGTATCGGTTAATTTCATGATTGCCGTTCTGACAGTGTCTGCTTGCATATTTTATTCATGTTTGGTAGCCTAATTTTCTTTCATGTAGGCTATTCGCCCCGATTTGATCCATTTACCTGCGAAATTTATCTGAAATAATTTATATTATTTTGTCGTCAATATTTTGTTTTAAGGAGTTAAAATTGCCCTTATCAACCTTGATTTACGTATTCTATAACATTATTTTGACAGTTAAAGTTTTGGGGTGGGTGTTTGTGAGTTTTTTGGGCTTGAAATCGTCCATCCAATCTGGCAACACTGCTGGTAATAACGACTTTGTGGTGGCGTTCATGTGCGTTCAACTCGTAAAGACGATCTATCCGACATGACTTGAACGCACCATGATTCAGCAAACACGTGGACGGAACCAGTTAGCAAAAAAAATACCAGATATCTGATATAGTATGCAGTATTTCTCCAGTATGGAGTGAAGTGCTAATATGGATAATCCCTGAAGCAAACATTGATCTGGAGATTTTGGACATAATGTAGGCTATTCGCCCCGATTTGATCCATTTACCTGCGAAATTTATCTTAAATAATTTATATTACTTTGTCGTCAATATTTTGTTTTAAGGAGTTAAAATTGTCCTTATCAACCTTGATTTACGTATTCTATAACATTATTTTGACAGTTAAAGTTTTGGGGCGGGTGTTTGTGAGCTTTTGGGCTTGAAATCGTCCATCCAATCTGGCAACACTGCTGGTAATAACGACTTTGTGGTGGCGTTCATGTGCGTTCAACTCGTAAAGACGATCTATCCGACATGACTTGAACGCACCATGATTCAGCAAACACGTGGACGGAACCAGTTAGCAAAAAAAATACCAGATATCTGATATAGTATGCAGTATTTCTCCAGTATGGAGTGAAGTGCTAATATGGATAATCCCTGAAGCAAACATTGATCTGGAGATTTTGGACAAGAGAAAGGAAAGGGAGGAAATGGGAATAGCCTACTCAAACGTAATGTGTATAGGCATATATCTGGAAGATTTTATGGAAGTACACAAATATACACTGATGGGTCCAAAGACTCAGATAAGGGGATGACAGGAGTAGGAATATATATCCCTGACTTGGATATATTCATAAATAAAAGATTATCATCTGAATTATCAATATATTCTGTTGAAATGGTCGCTATGTGGGTAGAGGAAGTGACACCAGACAGAGCTGTGATTTGCTCAGACTCTGCTTCTGTCTTAACTTCATTATCCAGCCACCAGTCATCTAGAGAAGATTTAATGAATTCAATTTTAATGTTAATTTGGCGAATTCAAAGGAAAGGAATTTTAATAGGATTTTGTTGGGTTCCAGCCCATATAGGGGTAGTTGGGAATGAAAAAAGTGATTTAATGGCTAAAAATGCTTTATAAAAAAAAATTGATATTAATGTTCCATTAGGTAAAGGGGAAATTAAAAGTATTACTAAGAGGAATGTTACAAGAGAATGGCAAGGAGTGTGGAATTTAGATTATAAGGGAAGACATTTATATAAAATCAAAAAGCAGGTAGATACTAAAATGATTGTAAGAGGAAGGAAGAGGGGATAATAGCTAGATTAAGACTGGGTCATTCAGGGCTGAATGGTTCATTATTTTTAATTGGTGTACATGTTAATGGCTTATGTGAATTTTGTGGTGAGAAAGAAACAATTGAGCATGCAATATATGAATGTATAGTGAGGATAGGAAGGAACTAGCATATCTAAAGGATAAAGGTAAGAAGAATAACGATGTGGGATATTTATTGGGATATGAATTTAATAGTGATAGAACAGGATATAGGATTTTATTAATTTTTTTATATAGCACAGGACTAGATAAAAGAATATAATATAAAAGATGTTCTGTTTAAATTGATTGGACGGAAGATACCCTGATTCTGAACACTCAGCGCCAACCGATACCTGAGGCAAGTTCAAGCTCAAACCGGTGTGCACCGTTTTGCTACGGTTTCCGGTTTTGAACGACATGTGTCCTGGAAACGGTGTGCAATGGTGGGTTTGGGATGCGTTTTCTCTTGTTTGGTGGGTGTGTCAAACATGTCAGCCCAATCAGCAGCAGCATCTATATAAACTACGCGGTATTAAAGAGACAGCTAACACAATGTAATTAACATCCAAATAAATTCACAAGAGCAAGTATATTGTTTGCAC